TAGATAGATAGATAGATAGATAGATAGATAGATAGATAGATAGATAGATAGATAGATAGATAGATAGATAGATAGATAGATAGATAGATAGATGATAGATAGATAGATAGATAGACAGACAGACAGACAGACAGACAGACAGACAGACAGACAGACCAAGTTGGTCTAGCCTCGATCAATTTTTGGATGCAAAGCCGGTGGGTTTTGTGTGCGTGACGACCAAGCTGTACGACTCTGAAGAATGCAAAGCAAGGAAGATGGCAACAACTATTGAATAGTAGCCTGCACTGCAGCAGCAGCAGCTTTCAATGGAGCGCTCCGTTGAAAGTTAAAAGTTCTGTTGCTGCTGTTCAATAAAAGTAAGTTTTAAAGATCATTTGAGGTGAGAACATTAGACTTTAAAGCATCACTATATGGTAAATTTACCGATTTAATGTGTAGTTAAAGAAACAATTTCCGAAGTTGAATTGACCGCGGCAACCAGTGGACCTCCGAGGCTAACGGCAGCCAGGGCAAACCGCAGCCCATCTGCAGCGGCCCTCTCTCGGCATAGTCATGTGTGAAGGACCGCTGGCTCTGATGGCAACGTTTTACTTTGGAATCGGTTTTGTAAGGATTAGACTTTGGGTTTTTTACCATTTTACCGAGAGCCTGTTTGTTTACACTCCCCCACCAGCTTTTACTACGTCATAGTCGGTTGCGCTCATTGGTCAGGGCGTTGGCCAATAGGCATAGATATGGTTTGAAAAACAATGGGTTGGTATCAACAACAATCTTCCGATGTCTCATTCATTGGGGCCAGACTAAATTACACATTTAATCTCACATTTAGTCTGGTTTATCAGGCTAACTGTTACCATTAGTTATAAAACTAAGAAACGTTTAAGTATAAGGAAGTTATCATGCAGAATTGTAGAAAAAATGTTTCTTAAATAGGGTAGTACCCAGTATAAGGTTTAAAGCATCTGTCCTTAACATTTCCCCTGCATTACTTTTATACTTTAAGTAGTTTAGAAATGGAACTTTTACACATTTACAACTCTGAATTTGAGAGGACCACAACTTGAGTCCTAAAAGAGTATTTTTAAACAGTAGGATTTATATTTCTGCTTGAGTAATAAACATCGGCACTTCTCCAGACAGATATTATCACAGTTTAATGTCGTAGCTTAATAATACTACAGTAAATTGTTTATTCAGATTTTTTCTGATTTTTTCCTGTCAAGCTATACGAAACAGCAGTATAATTTGTCTGGTTTACACAGCTTACAAAAATCTTACTAATAATGAAGAAATCTTTGTTCTTAGGCTGACTTTCCAACCTGTTTTACTTCTAAATCATAAAAAAAAGAAAAGGAAGTAAACAAAAAGAAGTCAACTGGATGATTCCCTTGATGATCTCACCTCCATGAGAACCTGTCTGCATGCTCCACATGGCCCAACGAAACGGTCTTTAATATCACTACGTGAAAAGAGAACAGAATAAATTATGATATTGTTCGAATAACTGTCTGTATGAAGCTCAGTGTCCTACCATGTCACAGCGATGGCGGTAAACTGTCTGTGTCCCTCGGCTACAGCTCTCTGGATGGCTGTCCTCTCTGCGCACACAGTCAGACCATAGGAGGCATTTTCCACATTACAGCCTAGAAGAAACATGCAGACTGTTTTCTAAAGTATTATGTGGTTTACTTGGTACTGATCTAAAAGATTTATGTCTCATACCTGATACACTGATACATCATTTAAATGGGCTGTCAAAAAGCAGAAGTTTACATAAACCAAATAAAAGACCAATAAGCTTTTTTTTCTATCAATGCCATACAATCTGTATTTCTCTTTCCTGTTTTAGGTCCTTTTAGGAAATATATATATGTATATACTGTGTAAATATATATATATATATATATATATATATATATATATATATATATATATATATATATATATATATATATATATATATATATATATATATATATATATTGTAAGTCTTAAATTTCTAAATTATTCATATATTCTAATTGCCACAATATTAAGATCAGTTTTTAGACACTGCTGAATTAGTTTGCAAACATTTTCATCAATTTGACTTAAACAACTTTTATTGTCATTTTGCATACAGAGTGTATGTGAAACGACATTTCCTTCAGCACAGCTTTTCATACAGCAAATGAACATTTCCATTTTATAAGGTGCAACAGTGATCAAATATAAACAGTGTGGGAGAAAAACCATGGTGCAAAGACGCATTGGTGTGGAAGTTCAGAGCAATAAATATATATATGGTGCAAATATGTAGTGATTTGGTTTGGTGTTATCAGTGTGATGCAGAGTCTGTGACATGATTTAGAGTTTTTCAACAGTTCAGCTGTCTGATGGCGGTGGGGAATCTGCTGGACCTGCATCGAATGCTGCATTGTCTCTTCCCAGAGGGCAACAGAGAGAACGGTCCATGGCGGGGGTGTGACATTTATCCCAGCTCTGCGGTGCTGTAGCCTCCACACCACACAGTGAGACAGCTGGTCAGAGCACTCTCTATGGTGCGTCTGTGGAAGGTGGTGAGGATGGGTTAAGGCAGGTGGGCTCCCCTCATTCCGTGCAGGAAATACTAGCGCATTTGTACCCTTTTGACCTGTGAGGTGGTGTTTACAGTTCAGGTGAGATTTTTTGTGATGTGCACTGCCAGGAATCTGGTGCTGCCGACCACCTCTACAACTAAGCTGTTGATGAGCCTTTGCCATTAATCTGTAAGATTTGGGTGAAACGTTTTGGGTTTCCTTCCACAGGTTTCTCTTAGAAGTTAGTGGTAACCGTGGCCCTCTCCCCCCCGGACATAACTGGTACATCTGAGCCAGATATATAGGCCACCTTGCTCTAGCCAGGCTAGCCAGACTGATTCCTGCCCTTTCTAATGTTAAAAACTCTCTGGTCTTAACAGACCAGGCCAATTACAGCATTGGAGGCAGACCCATAATGTATCAGGATTATAACTGTGATATGTTTAATGATGCCCTTTATTATGTCCAAAAAGTGCATATCTTTAAAATTTACTAATGTAAGAGCTTTTATTTAAAAAAGAAATAGACATATTTGCTATCAGTGGCTATCTGATTGGTTCTAGACAGCTTCTGCTAAATCTGTTAGTCTGCCTTTTGAAATTGAGTTCTAGCCGCTTTTTTACATATATATATATTTATATATATTCTATCTTATTTTGCTATTTTGTTTTGTTTTGTTTTGTTTTTTGTCTGCACCAACAACACCAAGTCAAATTCCTTGTAAGTGCAAACCTACTTGGCAATAAACTTGATTCTGATTCTGATCTGATTCTGATTTACAGACTGAAATGCTGCGTACATGACATGAGTCAGTCTGGTCAGTCAGGATAGCCTTGGTTGCTAATGCCATTTCAGTTCTGCCCCTAACTTGGTTTTGAGATCAGGGATTTGTGATGGTCTATGCAAACCATAATGTTTGTTATCCTTAAGGATCTTCAACTACTTAGACAGTATTCTTCAGGGTATTGTCCATTTAGAAGACACCCTTGCCTCCACAGTAGAGCATAGCCCAGGGATACTGCCAACAGAGAATTAACTCATATTAAATTTGAAAACATCATTCTGTCCAAAGTCTTCCGTATTAAGTGCCAGACTCCTCAGCCTTAGATACAGTTTATTTAAATATTTTCCAACATTTCAAACATTGGCAGCTTGGTGGATCCAAATGTAGGTTAATTTTGATAAGGATCATAAATCATAAATTTGACCATTAGGATAAGAAAGGCATTAGGGACGTTGGTAGAAGGTATGGGGTTCTTAATTATTGCCGAGGGAAGGCTTTACAAAAAAGTTAATGTTTAGTAATTAAGTAGGCCCACCAAAAATTAGATTAAATTGCAAGATTACTATTACAGAATAGAATTGAATAGAAAAAAACTTTATTGTCTACCATACACAATGATGACAGAAATTGGCTTTTGGCTTGCGCACACACAACAATGTAAAAATACAATTAATTAAATTAAATTATAAAAGAGTTCATTGCAGACATAATAGCAGTAGCAGATTCACTTCATCAGGGGAAGCAGAAGAGACTGTGAAATTTACAACTTGCTCAGCTCCTTGATGGCAGAGGGCACAAAAGAATTTCTGTACCCATTTTTCTTGGCACAATGAAGGGTGTATCTCTGCCGTGATGGAGGGAGGTCAAAGTGACAGGAAAGTGTAATCTTATGACTGACCCGATGCAATGCTTTACTGTAATGCTGAGACAAATTGATGTGTTGTTGGCCTGTAATCTTACTGCTCGGTTTAACAAGTCCGCCAAGTTTAGCTTTGTTTTGGGCAGTTAAATGACCAAACCAGGAAAAAATATTAAATATCAGTACACTCTCAATTAATTATCTGAGTAATTTAGGTCTGTTTATCAAATTAATTAATTTTCTGTTATTTGATTTAATTTCTTAAAATTACATCTGCCTAGTTAACATTTTCAATTTTCTGACCAAGCCTCCTGTTGGTTTCTTACCTGTGATTATAGAACCATCTGCTGTTAAAATGGCAGCACCCACAGGGAAGCGGCTGTAGGGACAGTAGGCCATGTCCTGGGCCTGCAGGCACTTTGAAACCAGTTCTGTTACTCTATCTGAATAGAAATACTGCATTAACCTTTACTGAAACTACTGGACTCATGGTGAGCCACGTGGGTTATAAGAACATTCAGGAAGCTTGTTAGAGAACTAAAGATGGACTTGCCTGTCATGGTAGCAGAGTTCTCTCCCACTTTGTTAGACTGACTGTTCTGGGCAGAATTTCAGTCTAAAGCTGAACTATCACGTGGTGAACAAATGCACAGTAGCCCTGTTAATGTTTTAAAGAGCTTTTGTTTTTTTTTACTTACTGATTGACAGGAGAGAGTTGAGCTGGTTTTCATGATAACATCTCAACTGTTTACCTTCTGCCTGATTGGCTGATTAGCGGTGATGTCATCCACCTGTTTTTCATAGGATCAAACAGAGATTGAGGTCTGTCAAAGTTTACTTTGAACTGAGGGATCAAAAAATATATATATTTCTTAAATCTATTTTTAATTAAATACCTATGGTAAAAGAAAAAACACTACAGCACATTAACAAAAGCCACAATTCGTTGGGATAATTTTAGGATTTACTCCACTGGATCTGAAAAAATTAAAAAACACGAAAAAAAAAACTTTATTTTATTTTACATATATCAATCATCTCTCCATTGTAATTCAACACAACAAGATATACAAAGAAAAAAAGAAAAATGTAAGTACAGAGCTAAATATTATCTTCAAAAGTTATTCTGACATGTATGAATGCATATTCTTAGTTAAAGATGGTGTAATAAACATGATTCCATTAAAGAACATGCTCATATAAATCCTAAAAGTGATAACATTCTGTTATCTTCTGTGCAGTACTTACACTTTGAATGAATAATTTTTACTTCACATATCCTGATAAAATTATGTTATTGCACTATTTAAGATTTCACAATAAATGTTCTGAATAGCAAATAGCAAAAATGTTCTAAATTGTTTATTGTTATAACATGAGAAGTGAATGTTAGTTGTTCCAATATTACCGTTATTGTATGTATTGTCTTCCAGTTCTTTTTGCAGAAAACTAAGAAAAAAGTAATGCAGCAAACCTAATAGATTAAACGATTATTTTATAGCCTGTTTGAGAAAGGAGTGAAGCCCTGTATGTCAAATCAGTAAAAGCAACTCTAAACAGAGAAAAAAAAACTCAATTTCAGTTTCCAAAAACCTAAGAAAAGTATTAAAGGAGTCATCTCTCAGTAAGCCAGGGTAAGAAGAACACTGACGACTTATAACTTTAGTGGTTTCCAATCTGCATGGGAATATAGCTCTGCAAAACACTTTTAAAACTTGGAAATCTTCCTTACCTAGCTTTACATTTGGAGAAGGCCTTTAAATAAATCAATGAATCAATCAATGAAGTAATCAGTCCAATAGGAAAGTTAAATGTTACTGTAACTCATAGCATAGAATATTCTTCAGCAACTTGCTGTGAGTGTTTATGGCTTTGGGTAGGACTTAATTTAACTTATTTAAAGTTTATCTTGCATATCTGGAAAAGCCTTAATTAGAGACATTCAGTTTTAAGGGTGTATTAAAGGGTGTGAAATGTATTTGGCCACTTTAACTTAAGTCTATTTTTTTAAACCTTTTTTTGAAGTTTATTTAGAATTAACCACACATATTCTGCCTTTTAAAAGTAGTAGACGTTTTTTGAGTTTGTAAAAAATTACACAATTTTTTTTTTATCTGTACTGTTTTATTTATTTTTTATTTTTATTTTTCTGTACAGTACTTTGGTCAGATGTTGTTGTTCTTAAGTGCTTAACAAATAAAATTAGATTGGAAAAAAATTTTTTTTTTATCAATTTATTTATTTCTATGTTCCAAGCAGTTTGGTTAGTGTGCAGCAACAACGAAAAATAACAAACAAATTATGTGTTTGTAACTTTAAACATTATATCAAGTAGCCACAATTTTACAAAAGTAAAATCATACATGAAACTTTCAAGCAATCATATAAATTCTCAAACATTCCTATAAAAATCAGCATCCACTGGAGTCATATGCACGTAGCACAACATTCCTTTGCAAAATTTGGCCAGGTGGACTCCAAATCCAAACATTTCCAACAGGGCATTCCAGAAGGCAAATGTATACAGAGTTTTATTACAGTAGACACCATCAGCAGCTGAGGGATCATAGTTTGGCTGGTAGACTGAAAAAACCCACATGCCACCTAGAGGATACATGGGGAGAAAAAAACAATAGTTTCCCATAGTTAATTTTGGTTTATTCAAAGAATCTTTACAATAATCTAAAAAGTCACAAAGGCCTGCCTTGGATGCAATATTTCAATAAAACTCAAAATTCTGAGTCAACAATTCACCCTCTGCAAATCTAAAATATATTTAGGCACTTTAATAGACAGAAATATTCCTTAATGCCCAAATCTGGTCTATATTTGCAGCGAAAGCGACACCAAAACTCACTTAGTTACCGCTTTTTTTTTTTATCTGCAGCAGTGCTATCAGAATTAAATATTTCCTTCATATTGGTCATCTGCTTTTTAAGAGGCACACTGAACACATAATACTATAAGTTAATCCAGAATTCTCCAATAAGATATTTGCACATTTTTAAAAGTAAAAATAGTTGAGAACATTTTTCATTATTTTTAATTTTTAATCTTATCTTAAGGGTAACGATATTAATTGGATTGGCAGATCATCTTATATCTTATATCTTCTTAATTTACAGTGTATGCTGTTTGGTTCAATATCTCTATAAAAACTACAGAATGAGACTAATGCAAGCAGAAATACAGTTTATTTGTTATTCTATTCTAATTAAAATTTGATAAAATTTACATTTTATATAGTCATTTAGGGTCAAATCTAAAAAAAATGTCTCATTCTTGTAAAACAGTTGCTAATCCCTGATTTAAAAAAACACAACTCCATCCACAATTACATTTTTGCAGCGTAATCAAAACTGGTTAGACTTAATCAGTTAAACTAACCTGTATCCAGTGTAAGATAACCTGTTTATGTTGTGTGCTCTGTTAGTTTTACACTGAAAGAAATGCTACAAAACCTTTCATCCTTACCCAACAGGTTCCATATTAAGATAAAAAGGGCCACCAGACCCTCCAAACATGCTTTGAATCCTGTTGGACGCTCTCTTGGCTGAGCGGCATAGCTCTCACAGGGCAGAGTCACAAAAGGAATGATGAGCAGAGGAATCAGAGCTAACCCCAGCAGATAGTTGGGGATGTTCGGCTGCTGTGGGCAGTCCCTGAAATACACAACGCCTGTTGGCAGATGGTTAGCAGTTCAGAGACAATAGAGAAAGACAATCTGCAATGTATTGGGGGGAAGCTGTCTTTACTAACCAAAGATCACTCGTGCCACAGCGAGGACGGTCAATGTGATGACAACACCAACTGGAATCATCAAACAGTTCATGTCTTTAAATTAGCTGCATAAATGTCTCATCTGATTAAAATGTAACTTTACCCACTGGTGTAGTTGTGACTCAAAGACTGGGTTTCTGGGTTTTAAGAGGTCATTAGCTGTCAGTTTCTTATGTACCTTCTGTAACTCTCTTTAGCCATGATTAAACATTGGAGACTCTGTTGTATCTTTTTAAGGTTTTCTTGGGTATGCTTGTTTATAATAGTTGGCTATTTATTCTAATCAAGTCATCTTATGCTGATTGGTTCCTTCTTTGGCAGGAGTGGTGCATTGATGTGGCCAAAGATTTCCCATAAACCTTCAGAACATTGGAATCAAGAATGTGTTTCAAATAGTAAAATCAGAATGAAATCACAAAGAAAATGTCAGGAAATGACCATTGTGCACTAAGGGTTGGCCAAAAACTGATAGGTGCCATACCCAGGTGGGTGTATACTAATCACACTATATGGACTGGAAACTTAATGAGCAAAACGTCTGTATTTTACAAATAAATCAGTGAAAACTTGTTAGATTTTCACGAAGCCCTTGCTTCTAAATCAGCACACATATTTAGTGAATTATGTCGATTAAATTGGTTATGGTTCTATACGTACATATACACGTTGAATGGATCGGGCAGCTGTTCTGTATCTCTAATTTTGTCGGTAACTTTAGAGACTCATAGCTTTTACCTTATTCCTCATAAAGCACAAATCCTAGGTCTAAAAAGAGCATTAGCTTGCTTTTTTGTCTTATTTAATGTGAGTATATTGATGTGAATAATTAATTACTGTAGTTTTGTAGTAGGTTTATGGTTAATATACTAACAACTTAAGTTGTTTTAATATCTTTAAATAGCTTCTTGTTTTTAGTAAAAAAAAATGTGACAAGAAATGGAAGGACCTGGACATCATGTAGTGATTCTTGTCTGCTTCTGCATGACAAGATGTTGTGTGTACTTCCATGATATCCCACCGTGCTTCCCCTGCTGCACTCGCATTCAGGTCTGAGCCGTTACACCTGTGGCAGCTCCAATTACTGGTAGCTGCTGATTTTGGGATGAGCAGTGTATATTTCTGGCTCTCCCGGTGTGTAACCGCCACATTCTTAAAAGCCATTTGTGAGAGTAGACCATCCAGTGTTCCTTGTTATGGCTTCCTGAACTTGACCGGTCATGTTCCTGTTTTTCAACTGCCTGCCTTGTTCATGGACATTGGCCGCCTGCCTTGTCTCTCAACCAAGTCTGTTTTCCTCTGTGCCTATATGGATTGCTCTGTCTAATTGTGTATAACCCAAGCCTGGACCTTATGTCTGCCTTCTGCCTCGGCCCCACTGGAAACATCTGCCTGGCTTGTTTGCCTCCTGTTACAGATTCTTCCGGGTCCCAGGCTCCCCTTTCATCTAGCCATAAGAGATACCTCTGCCCTGTTGCAGTTTACTTAGTGACCTCTTTCATGATGCTTATTCCATGTGTCAGTTGAATAATATGGTCTCCAGATTCTGTCCAGGCATTGCACAAGAAGTGTTAAGAAATTACTATCAACGATGAAACGAATTAACTACTTTAAAATCCTTCAGCATCTGCTCCTATCAGTGCTGGTAGTCTCTTCTAACAAGCCAGTACTTCTTTGGTTGCTGC